ATCAGCTTAATGCCCACTAAGTAAAGTTGTTGTGTTCAACAATAGACATGAATGGAAAGTCTTGCTAACAATTAAAGAAGTATGCCACTCAAGTGACTTTTAAAGAGCAACAGAGGGAGAGAGTTGTGCATATATGTTTGCTAAAGTATGTTTTTTTTTATACCCTCATGACATACATAAATTGACAAATTGAAACAGACTTATTTAAAAAAGAAACTGCGAAGTATTAGAAATATAAAATATATCAAATAAAACAGCATAACAACTGGCAACTGACAAAAACATGCAACAAATATAGAATTTAATGTAATTAATTTTATTCCACTATAAACAGTTTACAACTGAGGTAACAAACACAATAGGTAACAAGTCGGGTGTGGTGATTGTCATGTCTGTGGGTAATAGCCGTCACAAACATTAATTTACACTTTTGCTGTGCTGATGGAATAGATGAATGCTAGTCTTGTGTTGGGTAACATTAAATTTGATACCATTGTTGAAGTAGTGTGGTGTGACCTCACAAAATGCAAGGTCATGTGAAGGACAGCAAGCTTGACCTACATTCATAAATTGTTAATTACAACCGTATTACAAAATAAAAGTATACAAAAGTAAATATATGAATGCCTGCATTGATTTTAGCAAAAACAACCTGACCAGACATTTTTTTTTTAAATTTTTTTTTTATTACAAAAATATTTTTCTTATTGTGTTTTAATAGAAGCATACTTTAATTTAACCAAAAACTATAATAGTCAATCAAGGAATTTGAGGTATTTCTGTCTTTAGAAGTGAATCTCAAATAGAGATATACATAAATCAAAAATTTGCATTTATTGTATTTTAGATCATTCAACTTTGATTTATTTATCATTTACGTAAGCATGCAATATAAACAGATCAAATACAATACACATACTGTGAATACATTATTTAAAGTCCATCAGGAAGAATGTGAAAGCAGCCTTGTGAAGCAAGCACTTTAGATATCACGTACATGTATCTCCTCTCAGTTTTAAGACAAACAACGGTCAATGCGTGCAGTCTACAACACAAATCAAACTGTTCAGTCACGTATAATACATGGTCAATTCCCTGTTTCCATCAATCAGTACAGACCATACAAAGAAGTGGCTAGATGAACAATGCCTCCCTGTCATAGTGAATGCACCTGACTTTTTTAACCATACTACGTGCCATTAAAATATCAAATTCTGTTTCTCATCTAAATATCAGAAAACCCATAATTACCACAAATTAATCACCTCGTATTTTGAACAAGTGTGATGAAATCGCAGACGACAACATTCCTCTGAAACCAAGATGAGGATGGATACAGCTATATGGGGAGCCAGGAGTCCAAGATGATGTCACACAAGGATGGATACAGCTATATGGGGAGCCAGGAGTCCAAGATGATGTCACACAAGGATGGATACAGCTATATGGGGAGCCAGGAGTCCAAGATGATGTCACACAAGGATGGATACAGCTATATGGGGAGCCAGGAGTCCAAGATGATGTCACACAAGGATGGATACAGCTATATGGGGAGCCAGGAGTCCAAGATGATGTCACACAAGGATGGATACAGCTATATGGGGAGCCAGGAGTCCAAGATGATGTCACACAAGGATGGATACAGCTATATGGGGAGCCAGGAGTCCAAGATGATGTCACACAAGGA